TCCCCCCAGAAGGACCCAGTGGACCAGCCAGAGAGCAGCTTGGGGCAATGAGGAGACACTTCCCATACTGACAGCTTATCCAGATTTTTGGGATAATCCCTCCCGCCACTGACCTTTGCTTGTGTGAAGATGTGTGTGCCTTGTTGGTTCACGACATTGACACTCAGGGCCTGAAGTACGTGCTGGGCAGGGTAAGCTCCTGTCCATTTCGAGACAGGTGATGGATGCACAGCTCTCTGTTTACTTTGCAGAATCAATGGTGGGTTCATAAAGATAACGACTGTGGTAGTCATTAGGAAACAGAATTCATGGCCTCTCCTGGTGAACTTGACAGCCCTTTGTAGGGAGGTGACTCTGAAATAGGCAGCGCAGAAGTAATTATGGGAGCACAAAACTGGCAAGATGATTCTGCCATGTAAGCGGGGCTGCATGAAAAGGGACCTACTTACCGTCTCGCTCTTGCTGTTGTGACAGCACCTGCTGTGCAACGGGCAGGTTTCGAGCGGGCCGACTTCAAACAGATCGCAGGAAGCTTTGAAACGCGCTTTTAAGGGAGTTGTGCCTGGGAAAGCCCCCATGGTAGTTGATTTACCCCAGTTTAATATGGAGGAGGATGAAGCGAGAGGTAACACCGGGATCCAGCCTGCTCTAGGACAGAAAGACAAAATGCTGAAGCTGCTTTTCTTGTAGAAATCTCTTTCCGTGTGTGGATGTGCGGAGGGAGTCTGGAAATCATCCCCTGCAGCCGCGTTGGACACGTCTTCCGGAAGAAACATCCATACGTCTTTCCAGAGGGAAACGCCAACACGTATATTAAGTAGGTGTTTTGTGCTTGCTTAGTTTTTGTGAGGTGGAATAAGATGCTGCCTGTCGGGAGGGGGGAAGCAGAGAAGGTGAGGAGGAAAGTTTGTTTGGAAAATTTTGAAATATCCCTGGGCAAGAATCTCCTGCGCCGAAGAAAATGCACGCCAGTGTGACTGTCTCCCTCAGGATTTCTACAGTGTCGAGAATATGACAGAAGTAGTACCTTTCATCAGCACAGAAGCAGAGGAACGGCCCCAGCATCTCCCTGATCACTAGCTGCCGTACCAGCAAATGGTTTAGACCCTAAGGTCACCAGAACGCATTTATAATGACCTGAAATCAGGCTGCCAGCAACGTCTGTCAGTGCCCAGCGACCTTAGCTGAGGGCTGAGCATGGCTCAGCTGAACCAGAAAATTTGGTTCCTGATGCCTCTCGGAGAGGTGAGCCGAGTGTCATGCCAGAGTGGGTGGCTTTGCCTTTGGACTGGTGCTGTCTCTCCAGTAGGGGCAGCCATGGGCGGCACCTCGCTGGTGGGGGCACCGAGGGGGCTGCCAGGGCATCCCAGCTGAAGGGAATCTGTCCTTGCATGCAGGAACAGAGACTGATTCAGGTGCTGAAACATCTGGCTGAAATGGACCAAGGTCTCAGAAACAGCAGGCGAGGAAGGAGGTAGTCCAGAAGTGGGAATCAGCATGGGAAAGATGATGGGAGCAGCTAGTCAAGTCAGGAAGGATTTCCTCCTCTTGTAGAGCATAAGACTGAAGGTCATCCATTAAGTAAATGACAGAGAAAAACGCTGGGGGCACTTATACTTAATGCAGGGTTGTTTCTCAGCTAAAGTACCTTTGTGTGTGTTTACACACCAGGCGTTCCTTTTAGTGTGGGTTTCCCAGTGTTATTAAGAGGTAGCAGTGTTTGGGAAGACCCAGCCACCTGACCCGGGCTCTCTGCAGCTTCCCTGTGCTTTGCATGAAACAACGTCCTGGGGGAGTGTAAATGACACCTCGCAGTTATACCTAGTAGGTGATTTCCAGCCCCGCGGTGTGTGGGCCAGGAAGGGGACCTTGTCACCTTGCTTCAAAAGGACGGCGGTGAGGGGCACAGCGTGTTGCTGGCATCAAGGAGGAGGGCACAAATTTGAGTCAGGAGGAAGGCTCTTGCTTTTAGTAGTGAAATAAGACTCATAGAGAAGAGGTTGGGATGTGGCGAAATCTCCGCTGTCGGAGTTGCTACAAACCTGAGTGAAGAGGCAGAATCTGCATTGCATCATCTTTGGAGGTGCAAGGGAAGCTTGAATGGGTACAGCTCTTCTGGCTGCGCCCCACACACAGGTGCACAGGGAGTTTGGGGAGGTCTGGCTCCATCCAGGTGTGAGCCTCGGCATTTATCCCCATGTTTCATATAAACCCAAATAAGATCAAGAAGCCAGACAAAAAAAAAACACCCTGCACTTTGGAGAAGGTTAGATACAGATGAAGACACCATGACTTGGGCATCTCTTGAGCAAAAGCACTTAGACTATTGCAGCGGCCTTAGAGAGAGAGGAAGGACCATGAATCAGCAAGGGACTGAAACACCATCTGGAGAAACATACCTGTAGGCATTAGGGGCTGGGATTTTATTAACCTTATGGTATCTATCAGCCTTAAACTTAATGTTGTAGTGTATAGACTGAGAGGAGAAGTAGCTTCTGGTAACCCGATGCTATGTGTACCTCTGTTTAAACAGAGACGTTAGCAAAAAATATCTCTGCCTTTCTGCCAGATATTGATTTTCTTCCACATAGCCTCTTCTTCAGTGCAAGAGACAGCTTAGGCTCCAGTGTTGTGCTGGGTTCACGTGCAGACTATCTCCTGTTCTGGCCATGTGAGATTTGGCTGGATCAGAGCCCGTCCTGTGGCACTCACAGCCCAGTGGTGTGATGGCAATAGCTTGGGAGCACTGGCCTGCCTTGGAGCAGGAGCTCGGAGGAGTCCCCTGACCTGGACAGGGATGGGCAGATAGGCATGGAGCAACAAAACCATGTGCGAGAGTTAGAGCCATCTGAAGTTAACAGAAGATTTCCTGAGGTTCATAAGCCTTCTGCAGACACCTGGCTGAGGTGGAAGACTGACATTCATGCTACCACACTATTGCCAGGGTGTTTTCTCTTGAGCTTGGAGTGCTGAAATTTGCCCCAGCAAAATGCAGACGGGCAAAGCAGGAGAGTCCATACAGGATTGACACAAAGGAAATATTTGCCTTCAATCTTTGGCAAATTTGGCATCACTTTTCAGCGCTCCATGCCAGCCATTAAATAAAAACCCAGGCATGCCTGCCAGGGAGGTGATGCTTAAGAGAAGTTCTGAGACTGGTGGATGCAAAGCATCCAGCTGAGTTTGACATGGTGAATTCTTCACCCAAATTTTGGCCTGTTGTGTTCGGTCCCTGGAGTAATGAGGAGGAGGAGTACTTTCTCTAGTAGTGAGGGTTAGGCTTGGCTCAAAGGTGGTTTGGGTGAAGCCAAAGACCAAATTGAGGATGGGAGGAGAGCAGGATGGGTTGGCCAATGCATTTTAGAAAACATCACCTCGGAGGCTGCCTTGGCTTCACCCGTCTTTCGTTGCCTTCTTCAGAAACACCAAGCGCACCGCGGAGGTGTGGATGGACGAATTCAAGCAGTACTACTACGCGGCTCGTCCCGCAGCCCAAGGGAGGCCTTACGGAGAGTAAGTGTCTTTCTCTGCTGCTCGTGCCCTGCCCGTGCCCTGACTGTGCCCTGCTTGCTGTGGCGGGTGCTCACGTTGGCGTCGCCTTGCCACGTTGTTTCTGTAGTAACGCTCAATTACGTGCTAATGGTAGGCAGATGCTATGAGCACAGCAATGAAACGTATAAACAGCTAGTTTATATGCTGTGCTAGTTCAGTGCAGCGAGTGAACCGAATCGAGGTGGGGGGAGACCCCCTCTGCCTACGTCCTGCCCTTGGCAGGAGGTACAAGTACTTCTGGTCCCAGAGCGGAGTTTGAGGGGGAGAATCCAGAGGTCTCGCTGGCAGCTGAAGGGCAGGAAGATCAGCAAATTTGGGGCCCATGAAGGCTTTATTGGAAAGGAGACAGAGTTCTGTATTCAGGGAGTTTGCCATTCGTTCTGTGAACGGTCAGAAATGCCTCCCTGTCAGGAGGGCTGTACGTATTTGCATTAATTTCTCATTTTCATATGCTCTTCCTTTCCTTAGAAAGTTTCCTTTGGACTATAGCGGGTTCCAAATCCAGCCCTAAATTTCTTCTGGCTACTCTTCAATTTCTAAGATAAAGAAATTGAAATCCTGATAACTAACCTGTTTCCACTGAATTCATACCCTCTTCCTATCTGCCAGCATGGACTCAAATAACAGCTCTGTCCTGCTAAGTGTAGGAGGATGTAGAGAACGCAGGCTGTGTGAAGGGAAGGTATTGGAGGCTTCCTATCGCTCTGTAAGTGCCAGATCATAACTGCTCTATGGGTAGAGGCTGGCCCAGAGGGGAGATGGAGTTTGGAAAATGTCACTCTACAGCATGATCCCTCAGCAGAACTTTGACTCCAGTTAGTGAAAGAACAAAATATTTCACTGTGTGATTAACTTCTGCTGACTTAAGGCGTGTTTAGGTGCTCTCATGAATCAAGGCTTTCTGCAGTCCTGTAAACTAAAAGTAACTTATAATGGCATATATTAATTTCCTAGTACATTAATATATTAAATTAATGCTTATTGCACATAGTAGATAGCATACATTTTTTTTTACTAAAGATTTTTAAATTTTCCATATACCTTTTCATCCACCAAACTCCAGGCTCCTTGTTAAAATGGTGATATGCCATCATGCCATTTTACCAAGTGAGACCTCCAAAGAGACAGAGATCGAAACGACTGCTCAAGCTCGTGCAGAAGAGAGCAGAAAATAGAGCTGCTGATTCTCTTGTGTTTGCTGCCTGTTGCATATCTGTTGGGTTTCTCTCAGCCTCTCTTTTCAGTGTGTTGGGTCTCACCTTCATGATTTCTATTGCATCTCTATGATATTTTCTTCCCACAGCATCCAGAGCAGAGTGGAACTGCGGAAGAGGTTGAAATGCCACAGCTTCAAGTGGTACCTGGAAAACGTTTATCCCGAACTTCGGTATGGATGTGCCATCTCCAACTGTCTCTAGCAAGCCAGTGGGATGCCCCATCCCTCCTGCCCCATTATACCTCCAGTCCTCACGCCTCTCCCTGCCACAAAGACACAGGCACCCCCTCCCTTGGGCTTCACAGAAGGTCACAGTGAATTTTGTAGTGACTTTACACAGAGCTTGCTCACAGCATGACATGGTTCATTTGTGATCCTGCTTTCTCTAAGCAATCTTATGGATTCCATGGCTGTTTGCTGCAGGGCTGGTGAGGGGCAAAGCACCAGTTATTTCTCTTAGCTCTTGGGATATCTCAGGTATCCTTCTGCCCAGCTGCAGGACAGGTGGTATGGGGAAATAGCCAGTTTTCCTTACAAAAGTACCCCAAGGTGAAAAATCCACCATAGCCTCTGGTGGGTTGTTTCTGTATTTAATGACTCTTGCTTGCAAAAAAAGCATCTAATTTTGCAGCCCACAAAACCAAACATATACCGGTCTGCATCAAAAGAAGCGTGGCCAGCAGGTCGAGGGAGGTGATTCTGCCCCTCTCCTCAGCTCCTGCGAGACCCCACCTGCAGTACCACATTCAGCTCTGGGGTCCCCAACATAAGAATGATATGGAGCTGTTGGAGCGGGTCCAGAGGAGGGCCACAAAGATGATTCCAGGGCTGGAGCGACTCTCCTGTGAAGACAGGCTGAGAGAGTTGGGATTGCTCAGCCTGGAGAAGAGAAGCCTCTGTGGAGACCTTCTAGCAGCCTTGCAGTACCTGAAGGGAGCCTACAAGAAAGCTGGAGAGGGACTTTTTGCAAGGGTGTGTAGTGACAGGACAAGGGGCAATGGCTTTAAACTGAAAGAGGGGAGATTTCCATTAGATATAAGGAAGAAATTTTTTACACTGAGGGTGGTGAAACATTGGAACATGTTGCCCAGAGAAGCTGTGGATGCCCCCTCCCTGGAGGTGTTCAAGGCCAAGTTGGATGAGGCTTTGAGCAACCTGGTGTAGTGGAAGGTGTCCCTGCCCATGGCAGGAAGTTGGAACTAGATGATCTTTAAGGTCCCTTCCAACCTAAACCATTCTGTGATTCTATGATTCCAGTCCTTTTACACTGTTCTGTGATACTTAAGACTTCACTGTTGTGAAACCATCTACTCTAGGAGTTCAGGCTTTGTGTTCAGGTGGTTCTGCCTTACTCCTAGCCTAATGCTCTACTTAATGTGCACTTCCACAGCTGCTTTTGCGCAGATCCCTTTTAGTCACCAAAATTACTCCAGAAACCATTGCATCTGGTCTCTCAGTCACTGTCAAGAGCCATCCTCAGAAAGGGTGCAAAAATTTTGGAGATACTTCCAGGGATCTGCTGACGCAATGGCTGAGTGCAGAATCACAGTGTAAAAATGATTTATAGCTGTTTTCTTGCTTTTTTTGCCATGTGTGGCATTGCCCAGCAGCATTCACAGGGAATGCCAGGGCTCTGTGGCAGTTTCTTATAAAGTTCCCCGCTCCTGTAAGCTGAAGGCTGGCTGACCTTCAGCCTGCTCATAGTTTATTCCTTGCTCCTCCGTTTGCCTTGTGCAGTGTTATTTATTTTTTCGTCTTACAAAGGCCAGCCATCCATCTCTGAGCGCCGCCTCTCCAGCGTCCCTGTCCATGTACTGCTCTCAGTGGTTCAGGATTGTAATAGATCTTGCCACTCTCATTTTCTGAAGGTGAAATGTGCAACCGCACCCTCCTCACCCCACTGAGCCTCCCTTCTGAGTACCCTGTGTGCCTGGGGGAGCAGGGATGTTGTTTTCATGCTGTTCCCACAGGATTCCTGAGGAATCGCTCTATCAGACGGGGATGATCAGGCAAAGGCAGAGCTGCCTGGAGTCGCACAAGTCTGAAGCCCAAGAGTTGCCCGTCCTGAGCTTAAATCCTTGTATCAGCAGCAAAGGCACAGCAGCAACGGCACAGGTAAGATGTGTTGCCTATCCCTGTGATGCCAGCTGGAGAGAAGGCTCTGGGCCAGCTTCACAGTGATTTCCTAAGTTTGCTAAAGCTCTGTTGGAGCATTACCAGTTTTGCCAACCCCTTTCCTAAGGTACTATGTAGTTCAGCTCTGGTAAGTCCAGGGTTTACCTCGATGGACGCCCTGGGCAGCAGCAGGGACTGGTGCAGGAGCCACTGTACAGGGTGGACCACTTATCTCTGTGCTAGCCTGCGCTGAGCACTTACTGCTGCTCAGGAACGCCACGCACCATTCATCTGCAGAGATCAGAGAAAGACAAAGAGAACTATAATTTCCTCCCATCTTTCAGCCTTATTTCTTTCAAAATGCACTGAATCGCAATGGTATTTATAACTTCATAGTCTGCATTCTCTCAATATTAGATTGCCCATTAAACTAGTGAGAATTTAATGAGGATGATCTCATTTTTCTTCAGTCTCACTGAGACGAGAAAAAGCTGTATGAATCAGTCTTCTCAAAAGCATATTCTAGGAAATGTTAGAGCCAAGAGCAGGCACATGTGCCTTGTAGCGGAGTTGCTGGAGCAAGACCTTGAAGACACAACTTCAAAACCTGCCTTTGCTTCAGGCTCCCTTTGTGATTTTGGGCAAGTCACTAAGTTCTCTCACTGTTCCCATCTATAAAACAGGGAGGATAACAATCACTCTCTTCTTTGGGGTGCTGTGAAATAATTTAATAGGCAATGGTGTGCTTGCTTCCACTTGACTGTACATCCTTAACCCTCGTGGTTACACATTCAAACCAGGTAGCTACGCATATAAAAGGCCCAGCCTGGAGATGCTGCTGAAAATGTCCCTAATTTGTATGTGCAAACGAAGCATGTCATTATTTGCATCTCTTTTGCATGCAGTTGCATGCCTGCCTTTAGTCAAGAAAATAATATCTGTTTCACAGCCTGGTAAAATCAACAATAACTACTTGAATTTTAGTCAGATGAGAAAATATAGTGAATATAATTGTTATAGAAAATGTAGTTAATATAATAGGCTTATTTTAAAAAGGAAGCCTACAGAGGGTGGAAGCAAGGACAGGGAAGAATATAGAGAAATTGTCCGAGCAGCCAGGGGATCAGGTTAGGAAAGCTAAAGCCCTGATAAGAGTTAAATCTGGCCAGGGACATCAAGGGCAAGAAGAAAAACTTCTATAGGTACATCAGTGATAAAAGGAGGACTAGGGAAAATCTGAGCCCTCTCCAGAAGGAAACGGGAGACCTGGTTACACAGGATATGGAGAAGGCTGAGGTACTCAATGACTTCTTTGCCTCAGTCTTCACTGGCAAGAGCTCCAGCCGCACTGCCAAAGTCACAGAAGGCAAAGGCAGGGACTGGGAGAATGAAGAACCACCCACTGTAGGCAAAGATCAGGTTCAAGATCATCTAAGGAACCTGAAGGTGCACAAGTCCATGGGACCTGATGAGATGCATCCACGAGTCCTGAGGGAACTGTCAGATGAAGTTGCTAAGCTACTATCCATCATATTTGAGAAGTTGTGGCAGGCCGGTGAAGTTCCCACCAACTGGAAAAAAGGGAAACATAGCCCCCGTTTTTGAAAATGGCAAAAAAGAAGACCCAGGGAACTACAGGCCAGTCAGTCTTACCTCTGTGCCCACCAAGATTATGGAGCTGATCCTCCTGGTGACTATGCTAAGGCACATGAAAAATAAGGGGGTGATTGGTGGCAGCCAACATGACTTCACCAAGGGCAAATCCTGCGTGGCAAATTTGGTGACCTTCTATGATGCGGGAAGAGCAACTGACGTCATCTACCTGGACTTATCCAAAGCATTTGACACTGTCCCGCACAACATCCTTGTCTCTAAACTGGAGAGACATGGATTTGATGGATGGACCACTTGGTGGATAAGGAATTGGCTGGATGGTCACACTCAAAGAGTTGTGGTCAACAGCTCAATGTCCAAGTGGAGGCCAGTGACAAGTGGTGTTCCTCAGGGGTCAGTATTGGGACTGGTGTTGTATAACATTTTTGTTGGCAACATGGACAGTGGGATCAAGTGCACCCTCAGCAAGTTTGCAGATGACACCAAGCTGTGTGGCGTTGTGGACACGCTGGAGGGAAGGGATGCCAACCAGAGGGACCTTGGCAGGCTTGACAGTTGGGCCCAGGTGAACCTAATGAAGTTCAGCAAGGCCAAGAGCAAGGTCCTGCACATGGATCGGGGCAATCTCAAGCACAAGTACCGGCTGGGCAGAGAATGGATTGAGAGCAGCCCTGAGGAAACGGACTTGGGGGTGCTGGTTGATGAGAAGCTCAACATGAGCCATAAATGTGCGCCTGCAACCCAGAAAGCCAACCGTGTCGTGGGCTCCATCCAAAGAAGTGTGGCCAGCAGGTAGAGGGAGGGGATTCTGCCCCTCTACTCTGCTCTTGTGAGACCCCACCTGCAGTACTGCCTTCAGCTCTGGGGTCACCAACACAAGAAGGACATGGAGCTGTTAGAGCAGGTCCAGAGGAGGCCACGAAGATGCTCCAAGGGCTGGAGCACGTCTCCTGTGAAAACAGGCTGAGAGACTTTGGGTTGTTCAGCTTGGAGAAGAGAAGGCTCTGGGGAGACCTTCTAGCAGCCTTCCAGTACCTAAAGGGGGCCTACAAGAAAGCTGGAGAAGGACCTTTTACAAGGGCGTGTAGTGATAGGACAAGGGGCAATGGCTTTAAACTGAAAGAGGGGAGATTTAGATTAGATATAAGGAAGAAGATCTTCACTCTGAGGGTGGCGAGGCACTGGAACAGGTTGCCCGGAGAAGCTGTGGCTGGCCCCCCCCCAGAAGGGGTCAA